AGAAAGAAAAGAGCGAGCAAGCTCCTAGTTTCTATTAAGGACCAATCACCACCAGGTTATGGCAGATGGGTGACAGAGCCAAGGGTGTGCTTCCTTATGGGGAAGCAAGACCCATGTCTCAAGAAGAAACCTGGACAGGGAAGGAGGGATGAGCACACATTTCTGTTACTTTGGAGAGCCAGGGTTTGTGCTGCTCTACACTGGCAGCAGGCGCACCACTTCCTCTGCACCATCTTCTGAGAGAAATGTCCACGTGCTGCTCAGGTGGTGCCGGCAGCTCCTGCCTGGTCCGTCAGCCTGTGCTAGCCATGCTCATCCATGGGCAGAGACCAGAGCACCGGGTGAGTTATTTATGCACTCCCACAAACTTGTGCCGTGCTCTGAGAATGCATATGTCCTGACTGCTGCTTGGATGTGCAAATTAACTATGTAGTGAAGGAAGAGGCTTTCTTGGCAGGGAGCACAGGGTGTTGCTTTGGTTACTAGTGATTTCATTGCTCTGCATTTAGAAGCAGTGAGCAAGAACTGCCCCAATGTCCAAAGGATAGCCGGGGTGTCTGTTAGCTGATGCATCTCATTTCTGTATCTGCTATGAATATATCCAGGAAAGCCAAAGCTATGGAAGATACCAGCCACAACACTTACTGCCCCAGAGCAGGAAAGGTGTGTAGCTTGAGTTGCGGTCAGATTTGGTAGGACAACCAAGTGGAAGAAGCAAGGGACATAGTTTTCTATGTCTGGCTGCCCGATGTAACAGAGCTTGGAAGTAAGGCCCAACACAGGTAATGCCACAGAACAGCCAGTTAAAAGTAAATATATTTAAGCAAGTAACAATTGCCCAAAGTGTTAAAGAAACTCATTGGTCTCAATAAAAGCAGAGAAGGGCCTTTGCTAACATGGAGCCTTTCCTAATCTCCTCAGAAGTTTCCTGAAGGCCTTATCAGAAACTTATTGCACATTCAACATTTGCACCTCCTTTGTCTCTCTTCAGTCTGGTTGGGACCTCAGTGTGAGCTGCCTCTGGTGGGCGTTGCAGGAGGCTGTTCACAGCTTTGAGAACTGAACGAGGTGTCGGCCAATCTCTGAGACGCTGGCACAGCCTGAAATAAATAGAGAAATTAAACATGTTGGTGAGAAAGGAAGATCTGTGGATGAAACTTGGAAGGCAACCTGTCTGAATCACAGTCTAGTCTTGTATGAGCCATGTGGGGATAGGCTGGTACTTCAGCAGCTCACTCACAGGAGCCCTACTCAATGGCATCTTCAGCCTTGAGGTTAGGCACTGGACTTCCCACACAAGAAGAGTTGGAAACATGAAAAGAAAGGATCCTTATAACAGGCTGAGCAGGGAACTATCTGATCCAGCCAGAAGTGAAAGGTAGACAGAAATGACACAGGGATTGCTGTGTGTCAAGTCACCGGAGGTGGAGATTTGCATTGCCGTTTCATTTGGTCAAATCTGGGTGGAATTTCACAGCCCTGCCCAAAAGGTCCCACCTGCTACTCTTGCCAAGTTCAGTGCCCTTTTGCATGCGAAGAAGTGTGAGAGCCTCTTGGAAAAAAAAACTTGTAGGAATCTTTATAGTTGAAAAAGTAACCTAAAAAACCAGCCTACTAAGAAATGCCCAATGGGATTTCAGTTCCAACCTCCCAGTCCGCGTTGCTATCCACTTGAATTCATGGTTGCTAGAGCATGAAAATCTTTAAAACATGATTTGAAGTGGGATAAGACCTTTGGATATGTCTGAATATTTCTGCACTGGAACTGCATGCCATACTTGTTCATGTATGAAACTGGAGTTTGCACTGGGCTGTGCAAATTTGCTGTTCAGTGAGGGGGTCAAACACGGCAGCTAGAAGTAGGAGTAGAAGAGAGAAACGCAGAATGAGGAACAACAGTAAAAGCTTGGAGGAGACACAGAGGCTTTTAAAGCATGTGGGATGCAGAGATTTGAAGCTGTACCAACAGACTGTATTCTCTAAGACAGAGAAAAACTCTGCATCCATTTTTTTCCGAACTTTTCATGCAGCAAGAAGATTGATTGCATTTTACCCTGGTAAACATTAAATTAAATACTGAAAAACATATGATGCAATTCCCAGCAGAACAGAAATTCCAAGTTTTGCTCAGCTCTACCTAGCAATTTTGCATCTCTTCAATTGGGTCAGAAAGCTGCTTTAACCTACTTCCTCCTTGCAAGCTTCATTGCTAGGGCACCTGAAATGCCAAGTGGTTTCACAGGAAGCAAAGAATCACCTTAAATATAGCAACGAGAACCAGCACAGCTCACATGGATTCCCTTGTTGTGACCCATCCATCTGATTTTAGATGGATTGCATGCAGAAACCTCTGTATCACCAATTACAAACAACCTGCAAAACACTTACCAGCTAAGGCCATCGACAAACGAAACTCATCCTGCAAAATTCTCAAAACGTCTTGAAGACCTTCTTCACCCTGCTCCAACAAAGAAAGCAGTCAGGGTAAAAGGAGTACTGGCACAGATCAATGCTGCAGGATTGTGAGAGCTGGGACAGTCCCTTAAGTCTGTGCCAATTCCAGTCTCTCATACAGATGAATGATTAAAATGATATGATGGATGTGCTCAGTTCATCACAGATTAATTTAGATGCTTTTCCTTTTGTGATACATCTGAACAGGGAACAAAAACAAAGCTGTTTTTCACTTCTGACATTTTGTAGCTGGTTTTTTTTCTTAGCTTTCAGTTAACCTCCACCAACGGGCTTGTTTTAAAATGTCAAGCCCTACAATGCTGACAGTATTTTATGAAGTAATGAGATTTTTATATATGGTACAGCTTTAAAAACTTTAGTTTACTCAAATACTGGACTGAATCTTTAAAAATAGTACACTGTATGTTTTTCTCCGAGCAAACAACACCAAGAAGTGCAAAATCCAATAAAATGTACATATGATTTTGATCTTACTGTAAAATATTGGAGGATTTTTTTTTTCTCTTAAATTTTATTTTTATTTCTTGCAATAAAGAATGATTTGGGTGCAGACAATGTCAGCACTTGTTCATGCCCTTCCTCTCTTGTACGCACTGAGATGCATCTTTAGGCATACTCTATGCAATATAATACCAAAGCACAGTTAAACTCAAAAAATCCCATCTCCTTTCTGTTTGCATTGTGGAAAAAATACAGGCAACTCACAGCAACACCCTTGTCATGTTAGGCCCTTTTTCTCTGTTTACTGGCAACAGAAACAGTGCTGCTAACTCTTCCAGGTTTCTCAGCAGATTCAGGTGACTTCTTGCTTAAAGCCTAGCTACCGGAATCCACAGCAATCACACCACTGGACAGGAGTTTCATTTAAAAGATTTAAAAGTGTTTCTAGACATAGACAAAAGCAAATATTTTTTCCTTCTAGAGAAAAGCTTGAAAGCTCCAGTCCAGAGGCTAAAAGGCAAAAACTTAGCAAAGCAAACAACTGGTATAATTACATTTTAGTTTATATTATATTATATTAACCTTCTGTGTCAGAGGCCTAATTCATGACTCTGGATCATAGAAATATGCTAGTAATTAAGAAGCAGCAAAGCTGGAACTGAGATAGTAGTGGCATGCTCAGGCACCTACAGGACACGGTTGTGCTCAGTCTTGTCCAAAATGTTTCAGACATCAGTGGGATGAAGTTCTATATGTATTTCTGAAGAATTCATAACACTGTTATGAAACTACTGTATCAAAACCATTTATTGTTTCCAAGTAAGCTGACAGCAAATAAAATTGTCAGACTCATCTTTGTGGCAAATAAGCCCGCCTCCAATTTTCAAAAGCACTGATGGTCCTGAGTCCTGCGGTATTTTAGCACCAAACTGCAACACCAAGAAATCAGGTCCCACAAAACAATGTTATGAGTTTCAAAACCATATTTGAAATCATAAAATTCAGTGGTATTTTTAAATCACAGAAAATGTCTGGGTTTGATTCAATTTGGGATGTTTCCACTTAAAATTCAGCAAAACCAAAAAAAAAAAAAAGGTAAGCTTCTTCACTGGTGAAAACTGTCTCTATGACTTTTAAACAACAACAACAGAGTGTTGGAGAGTATGAGAAGTAGACATACAAACTCAAAATTCCTTACTCACCTTATAAGCCAGACCCCATAAAGCTGGTCTTCCAATAAAGACGCATTTTGCTCCCAGTGCCAGTGCTTTTAATACATCACTTCCTTTTCGTATTCCACCATCTAAATAAACTTCGACTCTGCCTTGTACTGCATCCACAACCTCAACCAGAGCATCAATCTGCAAAGAAGCAGCCACTCTCACCTTCAGCTCAGCTTTTGATGCCAAGAGAAAGAGGAGATATTCCAAAGAGACAGGCAAGGATGCAATACTGTAATAGCATACCTTCTCAAAATGAAATGTGACAATGCATCACAAATAGCTCAGTACCAAAAGCTGCAGAATAAAGTGCAGCTCCCTGATCTGTTTGCCAGATAGTTAATTCCATTTTCTAGAGCTTTGCTTATACTGATATTCTTTGCTAGCACTTCTGATAAGTGAAAAAGTAACATTTTCACTTGCTTTCTGAAAGATTTTTGAAACAAATTTCAATGGAAATTATTGTCGTTAATATCTTACTTTCATTTGAGACAACGATGAATGACACATATGTTTATAAATAAGGCTGATGTCAAACTTCTCCCTGCTACTGTCCAAGTTGCCTGAACTTACTTTTCAACCTAATCCTGGTGACCACCTGTCGAAAGCCTCCTCAAACACCATAAAGTGTCAATGAAGGATTTCATTTGCTATGTAGTACAGTCAATGTGTCATTTCCTCCAGGCTAAGTCTCCTGATTCCTTAAGGGCTTTTCTGCAGAGCACAGAGCCAGGCTGGTAGTGCAGGGCAGTACCACACAGACATGCAGGCTCTGGTCCCAAAAGCAGTATAACCAGTGGCAGGAGATTGCACTAGACCTAATTAACTCTCCTTCGCAGCAAAACCAAAGGTCTCTTTTCTCCAGTCTCCTATACTCTTTTGCCTTCTTTTCATCTTTTTTAAGTAGAGCAGCTACAGCTAAGATTACTAAGTAGATTTTTTCCAATTGGTCATAATTTTTTTCAGAATTTCAGACTGAAAACATTGAGGCTGAAACTTTCCAGGAGTAGCTCACCCAGAGCAAGGACAACAGCTTCTGCTGCCAGACTTGGTACCAGAGGAGTAGTAGAGCTGAACTAGGTATCTACCGGTTTGTCTGTGTATGTAAAGAAACTTCTAAGGTAGAAGAGCAGTTTAATGTGGATGCCATTTCCATTATTATGTCTTTAGCATTTAGGTATGTTTTTAAATCATTATTGTCAGCCTTGACATAGAAGAGAATTCCCTGGTGCCTATTTTTATTTTACAGAGGAAAACAGAGAAAAGAAAGGCCATAAGATACTATGCAATAGAGAACTGTAAAAGAAGAACAACTGGAAAAATTGACAGAAGCCAAATTAAAGCAGTGAAATACACATGCATCCAAACAACCCACGATTTCTTTGTACAGATTAAAAAGTGGGGGAATTTTTCTCCAGATAAGTTGTCCTTTTTCTGGCTCATGAAAGTGAATAAATTCCCATTTAGACTTGAGTCTGTAAATACGCAAGCAGACCTCTCACTAAATCTAGCTGCAGTTTGCACATGTTTTGGCAGATGTGAACAATGAGAATACATTATGCTCTCATTTGTACATTTTTGGTTCCAGAGCTTTGTTTTATTTTTGCTGCAGTGCGCAAAGAGTACGTGTGCACTGCACCAGCTAATGAAGACATAGGCAGAAAACTTTTACTAACTTAGGCCACTAGTTTATCTGCAGTTATCTGAGTTCAGAGCTGCTTACAGAACCCTCCCAAGAAGCTGAGAAAATACTTCAGTGGGTAGCCCATGCCAAGGTGTGCATCTTACCAGTTTAAAGCTAAAGTGCATCTGCACACATCCACAGCCACACAACAAACACAGAAGTCCACCAGAAGTCTATATACAAAGACGAGCATAGACATACCCAGGTTAGCGCAAATATGCATACAATAAACATTCATGGGACACCCATTTTCTCACTTACAGTGGCAGGTCCTCCATCCAGTTGCCTTCCACCATGATTGGACACAATAATTCCCTGAACTCCATGTCTCACTGCCAGCTCTGCATCTTCTTTCGTCAAGATGCCTTTGATGATGATGGGCAGGTGGGTCAGGCTCTGCAGCCAGTAGATATCGTTCCAGGTGACCGAAGGATCCAAGCTGTTGGGTGGCAGTCCGTACTCAGAACGGTCATCTTCCTACAGCCATAGGACAGAAGGAAACCTCATCTGAGCTGTAACAATACAGAGGCCCCTTGATGTCTTTCCCTGCCCTAGAACAGATTAATTAAACTTGCTAACAGACATGTTCATCAGCTCCAGAAAGCATGTGTCTCTGGAGAATAATTACAATGGGGATGGAGATCAGTGTCTCTAAGGCAGCTGGACTGGGATTTTGAAGCCAGAACCCAGGCTGGCAGGAGGTCAAGCCAGGACGCTGCAGAACCAGAAGGGGAGAAGATACACCCTGGGTACAGCAGATGCCAAAGCAGCAGTTACCCAGTGGTTTTTGTCTCATGTGGTACACGCCAGCACAGTGAATGAAAGGAGGTGCTCATTTTACAAACCTCATAGGCTCCTTCCAAGTTCTTCAGTTTCATGTGGGGAGGAAGGCGGAAACCATTGCGGACATCGTCGCGTCTTTTGCCCGTGTAGGGCAGATCTGCGGTGAGGACGAGTCCCTGGAAACCCAAGGCCTCCGCCTGTTGGACCAGCTGCTGGGAAACCGCCCTGTTGCGGTGGATGTAGAGCTGGAACCACCGGAGGCCGCCGGGGGCGGCCGCGGAGATCTCCTCCAGCGTGCAGGTGGAGTACGTGCTGGCAATGTAACAGGTGTTCATCGCTTTGGCTGCTTCAGGAGGTATTGGAAAATAATCAGAATCAAGGTCATTTGAATGGTCCTGCCAGACACCACATACAAAAGTTTTTTATATACAGTTTGCAGAGGACACCTGAACTCCTGTTTTACATCCTCCCAAACACAGCACTCTGCCAATTGGCAAATATGCCCCCGGGGTTAAAAATGGCTATATTTACCATGCCCCGTTGTAGGATCATGGTTAAGAAAGCAGGAAAGGGAGAGGTAATTGACCAAGTGGTGCTTTCATTTTGCAACTATTTTTTTTAAAAAGCATGAACTTCATGACTCTGTTCTCACAGGAATGTGCTGGCAAATGCACTCAATGTACACAGAAACACACACAGGAAAAAAAGATATTTCCAGGGGTCAGCTCTCCAAATGAACCACAGGATTCGGGAAGAGAGGTTATGCTTTTCTCCAAGGGAGACACTGTTCTTACCAGTAACAAGGAATTTACAGGCTGAGTCCCATCCACCACTTTTATGTCCTAGAGCCCACAGCACTGAGGACCTGTGTGGTCCTTGGTGTACACCAGAAGTGTGTCCACAGTCTCTGTCTTAAGTTTGCAGCAGCCTCCACAGGGCTGATCTCGTAATAATGGTAGCTGGAGAAGTAGAGCAATGTCTATATGGCTTCCCATGCACTCTGTGTCACCAGACCCAAGTACGTCATCCACAAAAAGGGGTGTCAGAAACTGGGAAAGGAGTTTGCCCCTTCAAGCCTCAAGATTTTGCTCAGTCACACTTCAAGTCATCCTAACAGCTTCTTGAGGCTTTTCCACAAACCCCTTTTTGCTATGCAGCAACAAAGCAGAAGAGTACCTCTAGCTGTGCTTTTCTCTCCATCAGGCCATGCTAGCTGGTGGAAGCCAGTAGGGGCGATTCCTACAGGAAAGCTGATTTCAGTCCCTAGGAGCTTAGTCCTAATGTCCATCATGGATACGTCCCGCAGTATACGTGGCCGGAAACAAATTCTGTAAGGCAATAAAAACCCTTCAGCATGGTAGCTGTCCAGTGGCTTTTCTGAGGTTTCATGGAAATCAGGTCTTCATTTACCTATTGCAATGCAGGAATCTGAGCGAGTAAAGAAAACAGAATATAGCAAAGGCTCTTTGTCCTTTCTGTTCACTTTTAGAGGGCAATTCAGCCAGCAGTTCATCTACTTCCACTTCATTAATCCCATACTCGTGCTCACTGGCCACAGCACATCATTTCTGCATTTCCCATTTCAGCTCACCAGCTCTTGTCCTCCCACTGTCCATCCCACAGATTCCTTCTGCTTACAGCTCACTCCCAGGTCTCTGCCTTCCACTCCACCATTCACTGTATGTTGAGCTTGCCCTCACTGTCTGCAGCATGTTCCCCAAATCCCACACTACTTACACGTAGGCTTCCTACTGTTCACCAAATGCTCCCCATTGCATCTCATTCTATTATAGTTACTCATCCCCTTTCCCGTCATGTCATGTCATCCCATCCCATACCATACCCTACCCTACCATTTGCCTGGATCCTTAGCTTCCCTTATGCCTCATACAATCTATGTCATATTCAGACTAGCATGAGAGCATACAGAGTATGTCATTCAGGTAAGTGCATTTTGCTTGGGGACCACCTTGAAAGGGCAAGGTGTAAGGAATTGTGGCCTGTGAAGTCCAAACACTTGCACAAAAACTTAATTTAAGAGCTTCCAGTACAACACCCCTCATTTCCTCCTCACATTACCTTTTATATGCCTGGATGTTTTCATCTCGGGTGCTACAGTCATCGGCTCCAGCTGCAAAAAAATCCCAAGCAATCTTGGGTAAATACTTCTTAGCATAAGCTTCAAAGTCTGAAAGACACACCATAGCCATTGCTGAGAGAGGCTCTGGGAACCTTGAAGAAAAGAATAACATGAAGCAGAAATTAGATCCCTGAACTGGTATTCTCCCTTCCAGGGACTCTAATGTCACTTAATGCAAACCTTGGACCCATCTGTCTTGTAGAAGAGTTGCTGGGAGGTTGTCTCAGTCTGTCTTGCCATTGATCCTCTCCCCTAGTATGACGAAAACTTGCAGATGCAGCTATAATAGTAGGAAGAAGCTTGCATCTCTGTGCCTCTCCTTATTCTGTCTTAATGAACAGAAACCCAAAGAAGACATTTTCGGTCCTCTGCTATTTTAAGACACAGCAGTTGTATAATTCTGTCATAAATTCCATTTTAAAACTAGCTGAGTTATTTGTTCCACTAATTCTCCTCAGAGGTTGGCCCAAAACATCATTTGCTGGATCGCCCCTTAGGACGGCTCCCTGACTGAACAATTAGTTATGTGACTAAATTCAAGCTCATAAAATCTGGAAGCAAGAAAATACAGAGTCTACATCTAACCTACTCTAGCACGAACGCATTGCAAAACTATGTCCAGACTCTGAGTGCAAGTCACTGTCAAGGCCAGAGCTGCGGAAAAACAAAGTATTTTCTACAGTTCTTCATTTCTCTTTTTTAACAAATGTCTTCTGGGTGTTCACATTACATACTGCAGCACTGATACATGCTAAAAAAGGAGCATACAAGATTTGGACAAACTATGAGAAAACACTGGCAAAAAGCAAATTCCATGACATGAAACATGATTCTAAGAACTACCCTCAATCTTTCAGGGAACAGAAGTGACGTTGTGCGACCCAGATGTCTAATCAAACCAACATAAATGCTGCCTAGCACATACCTACACTTAGATGCTTTTGAACCAGCCAAGACCAAAAGCTATGCAAATTAATGTTTTAGCAAACCATGCCTGTGTGCAAGGAAACATGTACAAAACATAGACAAAATCAATTTGCTAAATCATTTGTTGCAATTACTTCCACAGCTCTGATTAAAAAAGGCATTTTGCAAGGTATATGAAAACATGAAGTTTTAGACCATCTGTGGTTTGGATCTAATTTTTCTAAAAATGTACAGGAAGAAGTAAATATCCCAGTTTTCAGGATTAGCCTCCCACTGCAGATTAGCAAGTGTTGCAAGCTTCACTAAAATCAGTCCCACGTGTCCAATGTTGTACACTTCTGGCATAGATAAACACATAGGTTATATACACAGATCCAACCTGTCAAACTGCAGACACGGATATGTCTCACTGACTGAGGTGCCTGTGTATATATTTGAAAATTAGAACTCATAATTCTCTGTTAGCAAAGAGCCAAAGATGAGGGCCTCATTGGAAGATGAAGTGTGACTGATTTCTTCAGTATTGTTTTGTCTCCTCTGACAGCATTAGGTAGCAGGTGGTAAAAGTATCCCAAGCCTTCTCTGTATGCCTTCAAGTCATCAAGCACTGCTGATAGCACAAGTCTTCATATGTCATATATCATGATATACCGTAAACTACATAGCACAACTGTTAGAAAGGTCAAAGCCAGCAAGCACAAAAAGGTAAACCAAATCCTCTCATGGCAGAATAAATGGTAATTTTAAACAACCCAGGCCCAGTCCTCATTGTCTCCCAATTCAGACCTCAGTTCAGACTTACTTTGGGTTTCAGGGAGAGCTGCAGAAGATGAGATCCTCTCCTTCAAGTTTGCCTGCAAACAGGATGTAGAGGAGGTCTTTTCACCGAGTAGTTGCTGTTTTTTCTGGAGTCAATAAGCAACCACCAGAGATTAAAGCTCAATCCTGCAGTAAACTTTGCAATGTTTGTATAACACTAACTTTGTTTTGCTATCAGATGTTTAAAAGGTCCTTCCAAAAACATGCATCACCTTGTCAGGTGCTTCATTCACTAGACTGGAGCTGTACTCCTTGGCAGTGGCTGAAGGGGAGCAACAGTATTTCAGGGACTTTGACTGAATCCCTAAACTATTGGTAACTTGCTGTTGAATGTGCTACAAATCCCACCAAAATGATGATCCACAGACAGTATGAGTTGTTACAGCCCACAGCTACAGAGCCTTGAATCTTTACCATCATGTGTGGAAAAGATATTTTTCACTTCCTACAGTATATGAAAAAGTAAAGTACCCTTTGTCTTCTGCCATTTTTAAAGGGCAATGAGTGCTGTCGTGTTCTGGTTGCTCTCCCACTGGGCTTGCAGATTCCCTTCTTTGGCTTCCCACCCAGCTATCTCCCAGAAGGACCATCAGTCCTCTCCCTTTTCTGTGCTTGGAGCTGGTGAGACTTCTCTGTGCTTCCCTCCATCTCCCCTGCTAAGCATTACAAACTGGGACCGAGGTGCCAACAGATTTATGATATTGACTTAAATTTGCAAGATATGAAAAGTAAACACTGGACTGTGTTATTTGTCTTTCCGTTTTTTAAGCCTTTAGGGTTCATGTTTTCAGTTTTTCCATGCAAGCATTAAGAGCTTGAAACTTTGTTTTTTACTAACTGAAAATTGAGCTATTTTTCTCATAAACATGTGATACCAGGTGCAAAGGGTGAGGCAGAAACTCGTGAAAACATTCCCAGAGTTTTACCAGTATTGCTGCCCTCCCAGTCCAAGCCACCCAGCTGGGGCAGTGAATGAGCCAAAGGACCGGGGAAGAGCTGGAAGCTGAAAAGAGCTGCAACCTCGGGACTGGTCTGATCTAGGACTGCAGATCTGACATTCCTGACAGCAGAAATCCTAGGTCACTGATGCCATCTTTGCAGCTGTAGTGAACATCTACTCTTCTGTTAGATGTATTCACGAGACCCTGCCCAAACTGTACCAGGCATGACCATCTATACCATCGTCTTTTGAAGCTTTTTTTAAATTCAACCTTCAGAGCTCATTATCCACTGACAGCACTGTGAAGCTAGCTTCTGGCATCGGGCTATGGATACACCTGTCACAAACGAGACAAGATGCACATGCTTAGCCAGAGTGCCGGTGAGCTCCTTGGTTCACTTTCCTGTCCAGGACAACCCGTGCAAGCAGACAGCCTTCAGGTCACCTCTGAAACGAGCAAAGTGCCATCTCTATATGGACACAACGGAGTGCATCCCCGGGAAGGGAACGAAAATCCTGCGCTCATTCTCCTTCCGCTAGATGTCAGCTTTGGGTCACATATATCAACCTATGTCGGTAATAACAACCAGAAAAAAAAAAAAAAAAACACCAGTCCTTGATGGCCTGCCAGGCGCTATGGCCTTAAAATTGATATGATCACATCACAAGACTGCCTGCTAATATGTTTGGAAATCTTCATTCCCTGTGTTCTATTCTTAATATTTTCTGGTGCATAGCATAGCAATAAATGTAGCTACATCTGGTCTGGCCTGATCTTTGTTTCAGCCTACGAATTATCTGCAGGGTCCTCTGTCATATTTCTCATTATGCTGATCTCAGTACACGCCTACTTCAGGGACGCACATCACAGCCAACTCACCAAACCATAAAGTTTATGGTTTCATGGCTGTCATAATTTTACATGAATTAAAAATAGCCTGTGACTACTGCATTTTGGATCAGGAGAGGGGAAAAATCTCTGCTTTTGTGCTGCAGCTTTTAAGAGACTGTACTTTGCATCTAGATATATTCTCTTCCTTCGGCAATGGACTCAATTCAAAGTAGCAATGACTTCTTCTCCTGTAAGTAGTATTTTCTCTGATACTAGTTTGACTTCTGATTTAGCTGTGAAGCTCTAAAGTTCTAAAGAAATCAAAATTTGCCACAGCGAAAATACCTTTTATTAGAGCCCCTGCTATATACTTGAAAAAAGTGGACAGGTTTTAAAGTCCTGGAGTTCTTCCACTGGAGAACAATAAAAGACTTGAAAAGACTCTCTGAAAACTTTGCAGGAAACCTTGCTGCCTTCTTTTGAGAAGTGAAGAAAATAATATAGGAAATACTCACACATCTGGTCCAACCTTACAGGTAGAGTGTCAAGCAGTCAACAGTCAAAGCTTCATTTTTGCACATAGCAGCACAGCTGGGGTTTTGCAGTTGTGTACTTTTCAATACTAACATAGTCAAAGGCTCATGAATCCAAACACAAAGATCCTGTGTAAATCTGTGCTCCAGTTCCTATTACAATCACGATGCTCTTTACTCCAGTTGGTTATATTTGTTTGCTTTTCACAGACGGTAAATTGTCATGGGTCAAGCTGACATCTATCTCACTGATGCGTCTGCTAGTGGTGGGTTCAGTCTGGGACTTTACAACACTTCAGTGAAGAATCTGGTGAACTCTAAGCAATGTAAGTAACTCAGATCACGTAACAGTTCGCATACAGCCACCACTGGTTTTCCTTATCAGATGTCTTTCTTGGGCATATGCCCCACATTTGGAAGGAAAACTCTTTTTCCTTGCTTGTCAGTCAGGCAAGAAAGTTTTCCCAAAATTAAATATTTAAATAGCCATCCATCTATTATAGGTGGAGATGGCAAGAAATCTTATATTTAACATTGCCTAACGCTTTCAATTATAAGATCCAGTTTTCAGTTGCTTTTAATTTTGTCATATTTTAATCATTCTAGGCTGAAATTTTCCATCGTTGGTCTCTGTGTTGGGCTGAATTTTTTTGGGAACATTTCCCTGAAAGCCGGTCAGCAACTTCCAAGAATGAGGTTAGTGAAAAATATGGTGGCTGGCCCATGCTGAAAAAGTCTTACAGTGGTTTCACTCCAGTTCAGTGCTTCATGCAGGGGCTTGAAATTAGCGGGGGCTGATCCCTGGGGGCATCAGCCTGTACTTGCTGGCTGTATGAAAATCCAGCCAGACCTGACCTAGCTGTAAATCACTGCTCTGTGCTTGCACATGCTCAGCAGAGCTTGTCTGAAATCCAGATGTTATTACTGAAGACTTGCCTAGTGCAGAGCATGCTTCTGCCTATGGCCAGAGGAACTCAGAAAGCCCCAAATACAAGCAGAGGGCAGAGAGCTGGCCAGCC